GCCAGTCGGCCATTTCAAACCCAATCCAAAAAAAAAAAATGACGTGCATCAAGGTCCTATTATGTTTAATGTATGTACCAAATTTGAACAAAATCCGTCAATGCATAACTGAGATCCGGGTCCGGAATGGTGAAAATGTGTGATTTTGATGCATTTTCGGCCTTAAAATGGCCGCTATTCGGCTATCGTTAATCGGATCATGAAAAAAATGCATGTGCATATGTCCCATATAATGTGTGATGTATGAGTGAAGTTTGAACTCAATCGGTCCATGCATGTTCGAGATACAGGTGATCACGGACGCACGCACACAGGACAAAACATAAGTCCCCGTTTTCGGACTACGTCCGAACGGGGACTAATTAGTGTAAACTATAAATCAGATAGTGAATCAGACATTTGTTGAACCCATCAATGTGTTTCTTTACGGATATTAAATATTACCAGATATATATTACTAAAACTCACTTGGTTCTCTTTCACAGAATTTATTGAAGCATATTCTGCAGAAGCCTTGGGTACCTTGGCATCGGAAGCCAGAACATTCAGAATTAGCACATCGCAAGCTTGATTCAGATGTTCTTTTGATTGGTTTCTTTCTATCTTCTTTTGTGGTGTTCTTCATAGTGCTGTGGGCAGTTGCAGCTTCCAAGACATTAAAACATCTCTGGCAAAGCTTAGTATCTTCTGATATGGCCATGTTGTCGCAGTTTGGGTTAACACATGGAATAGTACAAGCAGCTGCAATTTTGGTTCTTTGTTCTGAAACATGTTTCTGAGGTCTTGCAAGAGCTTCTGTTTCTTTTACAAGTTTATTGGTGGCTTTTCTGTAACACTGGAGGCACATCCCATTAGCAACTTCATATACTATTCGGACACCATTGCAACCTGGATTGACACACAAATGTTTCTGAACTTTGAATGTCTTTTGTTTTACTGTTACACCTTCTGCTCTGCTGAGTGGACTTACTGCAGGAACTGCTTCTTCATGTTTTTGTGCTGGGATTTGATTGAGTGGAGGGAACTCTACGCCAGCACATTCATTACACAAACCACCATTTGATTCAAAACCTGTCCTAGTGCAAGTAGGAGTAGTGCATTTGTAGTATTTACGAGCATGTCGAAAATCTCTCTCAGGTTTGTGCAAACCAGGACTCAGATTAAGTATTTCTAGTTGTTCATCCCAATAACATTTAGAACAGAATCCACCAGTGTGAGCAGCCCCATACATCTCACATCCTGCTTTCTTGCATTTTAAGACATCTTTGTTTTTGTTGTCTGAGGGGTCAGCATTCACATGAGAGGCTGCAGCTATCTTTGCTGTTGCTGGTTTTCTATCCTGCCTACACTGCTCATAGACCTTTAGTTGATCTCTGGAACATCGTTCGCACATTCCATTACATCTTGGATCACTGGTCATAGGACAGTCAGGTATAATGCACTTTCCTGTGCCAACTCCTAGTTTACCAACACCATATGATGGCAGGCTACTAGACTTCCTTTCCTCATCAATGAGATTTACATGACTCGAATGTATGAGGGGTGTAGATACACTGGCAGATCTCAACACATTGACACTAGGAGGGGGAGCAGTGGCTTCCAAAGGCGGTTCTGAACCTTGGTTGTCAAAGACTGACTGATCCCAACAAACTTTACAGAGGTTATTCCATTCATGAAATCCAACATTCATGCAACTTGGGGTAATACATTTATCAGCTGGTTTCTGGGCAGGGTTGGATGGCTTTAGATTCGTTCTTGATACCTTATCATAACATTCGTGACAATGCTTCCCTGTGCTGATAGAGCAGAAAAATGGGCAGTTGAGGGTTTCACATTTAACTGGTAAGATGGAAGGAATATATTCAGCTGGTTTGGGAACTTTACTTTTCTGTTCTTTCAAAACTTCCTCATATGTTGGCAATCTAACAACAGTTTCTGGCCTCTGGGGGAATGGAACACCAGCATCTGCGCCAGACACAGCTCCAATTGGAGAACCTTTGAGTGAGTATTGGCTTGTTTGTAGAATATTTCTTCCATCACTGATCTCGTCTTCACCAGCCTTTAAGAGCTGTGTTTCAACCTTCCTGACCTGTTTAGTGAAGTCTTGATCACTGCCTTGATGAACAAGTGAATTACCTTGCAACTGTTTCAGACAGTCATCACAAATACCATCACCAGGAGTCCAGTCACCTATCTTTACACAGTTTTCCATGGCGCATTGTTGAGGCTGTTTTCTTCCACCTGAAGCATTCTCAGGAACACCTGGCACAGCATCGTCACCACCAAACTCACGTTCTAAATAAGTTCGATACTGTGACTCAGCTAAGTTGAATATATCACGAATGAGATTCAGTTCCTCTGGGAGAGAATCAAGCTGCATCAGTGCACACAATATTTTCTCTGATTTACCACCATGTTGACTGGAGAGTTCTTTGATACTCAGGTAATTTTGCAGCAGATCCATTGCTTGCCTTTCTTCGTCATCAAGGAGAAAATGAATAATTAAGGGTGTCTGGTCTTTCTTGACAATTGGGAAAGCATATTCTAAACCTTCAGTCATGGACTCTAGTTCCCCAATATTACAAGAATCTTGGAATACAAGTGGTGTGAAATGCATGGAATCATAAGCTAACAAAAGAGGTGTTTTTACACAGTCTTTTGGTTCCCAACAGAGTGGAAGATAGACACCGCCAAAGTTTTGCGGCTGAAACGAATGACCATCCAAGTCACGCCACATCTTTTCTGCAGCCACTATAATTGGTCTTCTAATGATGTTAGAGAGAAGAAATATGTGAAATTCATCCAGGCATTCATAAGGAAGTCCCCCATCACTTGCTGGTTTTCTGTCTGCTGCAGCAATCCTTATCATTGTTTCCCATTCACCATTCCATTGCTGATTAAATAAAACAAAACAAAAATACAATACAGTTTAAAGGAATGTTTGACATTTCCATTGCACTGGTTTGATATGTCCAGCAAAAGTAGCAGTTAACATCAGATAGCCCTTTTACATTACTTCAGATAAAATGTTCAAATTCACTGTGTTTTGTCATGCATTCAGAATATCGATCTTAAGAATATTTTAAATTGGTACATGGTGAATGTATAGAGATAAAATTAAAACACCCTGAAAACAAATTTTGTCATTGGCAGGGGATTCAGCTAACCAATCAACATGATTTATACATACTGTAGAATTATAGCGCAGACCACCACCTGGAATAGCAACGTCCTGCTTCTTTCTTTCATTCTCCCATCGTTTTTTCATGCTCTCTGTGAATTCTTCAGTTTCTACCAGGCCGCGATATAGATGTCGTCGCAGGAACAGATTACTGTCATCAATTCCCCACATTGCCATGCACACCGCATGAAGTAAACAATTTCCATCAGCTTTGATGAGCAAAAACAAATGTAACACCAAATACATAAGCACAATGTACAAGTGTAAGTGATCTGTTTGTATGTTTTGTATGTGCATTTCTCAGTCAATGTATTCAATATATTGGTTAGTCATTGCATTTCAATAGAGCATGTATTTCCAGAAAAATTTGAAACTTTCTTTTGCAATTGAAATATTCACTATCAGATATTTATGTATTTTTACATTATATAGGCAAGTTTCTCTTACGAAAAGATCAAGCAATTTAGAGGTTCAGTCACTGAGGGATGTCAAGCTTGATTAAATGAGCTATGTATTTTTTTGTTTATGTGATGGAACCATTTGGTAAAAAAAATATCAACAATTTATCCTCATTTTTATGAGTTAGCATTAACCATCCCAAATGTGACAGTTGAGGTTTGTGTATGTGCATTGCTAGCACTTTACCAATTTCAGTTGGTTTTACTGGGACATAATTATACCAGCTGTTAGGGACATTTTAACGCTTAATAATGTGCTATACACATTTGGTGATTTAAATGAAGTAAGGGTATCTTAACCTTTTCACCCCCAGTTCCTTCTTTCCATCACAAATTCACAAAATAGTCCTGTTTATAGTCTGTAATTTCCTTCATAAGATCGGGACAAAAATAGCCAAAATGTTTGCGTAAAAACTGATAATTTACTCAAATTTTGTCTGTTGGCTCCAAAATTAGGGTTCATTCCTTGGGAATAATGAAGAATATAAGCAAAAAGTTCAGAAAGTCTGTTGGTAAAAAGGCTACCGCGATATTCCCTCTCAAAGGTCAGCATTTTCTACATTTAGCTTCGAAAAAATAAATTTGAATTTAAAATCAAATCATTCAATTTTTGTGGCAGACATTTAGTTCACGTCTTTCACACAATACATGAGATCACCTATTGATTAGGTCAGAGAATGATACCACAACGGTATATTCACTTGGAATGTTTTCTATGTTGGACAGTGATACTGTTGCATATATATGCATATTGGTCATCAAAACTTCCCTATTTAAACATACATTATGAACCAGCTCATGTGGAGCACTTTTGACGTACATGCAAAGGTTCTACAGCCTCATATGAGACACAGAGTTAAGTCATTTTATGATTCCATACTTTCACTTTCAAATATATTAATAGTCAGTCATATCGAATCCTCCACATACCTGTGGTTTGAAGTGGGAGTACCCTTTTCACAGCGGAACACCAATTTAGCTCTCCAGCATTGTACAGTGTTGCTAACATCTGTTTATCAATCAAGTCTTGGTACAGAAATGTTTGGAATTCTTCTGGAAAGACGTTCAGTGGTGGTAGTGTCAATGTAACCGAAGTTGAACCAAGGATGTAACATGGTTGGTGAATACTTGGAGGCCGTTTTACAAGCGAGGAAATATATTCCTGTACCGCTCTAGACTTGACAGGATTTATCAACTGAAGCCTTAGAGGCAACTCCAAAGGAGAGCCATCTCTACGCTTATCATGTACCATAGTATATTTCTAAAAAATATAAGTATAATAAATAAATAAATAAATAAATAAATAATAAAAGTATAAATTGTGACATAAACAAATTTTAAGTATCAATGCTACAATGACGAATATATGCAAAAGTTAACAAGTACTGTAATCATGGTCGAAATGTAATTCCAGAATGAGTGAGATTATTATTATTCATTAAAAAGTTAACAAGCTACAAAAATAGTGAAGAAAATAATTGCATGTTAATTGGGAAAACTATTAATTACAATTAAAAGTCAATTCAATCAATTTAACTCAAAACATGTAACCTTGTGCTCATTTCATGATTTAAGATTAATTAGAATTTAAAATATAATTTTAAATCAAAATTTCAAATAAAAAAATAAAAAAAGAAGTAATTATTTCTGAAATACTATGTTTCACCATAGACCGTCCATGGTTTTACACATAGCATGACATTGAAATGAGGAAAGAGTTTGACCCACCCAAGAAGGAAATGCCCACTCCCACAGTTTATGTTGAGTTGTAAACCTTACCTTATTCACTTAAAGTCGAAGTGGATATAGGACAGTAAGAATATGGAGTCGTCTATGTATATCTAGCTAAAACTGCAAATTTTATTAAACGGAAAATCCCAATAAACATGGCGGAATAAGTTCAGTCTGGAAATTCCCACGAATAACGTCCAATTACGGTCGATGACTATTGGGACTGCCCCAAACCACTCAGATCAACTTGAATCGTCCACCGACACTGTAAATACTAAGGCAGAAATACGATGATTGCGTATTTCTATACTGAACATTCGAGTCTGATATCAGTATTGTACGAGTACAGCTGCTATGAACATTAAGAGAAGAAACTTTATTCGCCATTTTTTTTCAAAAAAAAACGACGAAGTTAAAAATCTAATTTACCTCAACAAAACGCTGTATTTCATAACTGGCAATTCGTATTTTAACTTACCTTAATATTTAGAGTAATAATTCATCAACATACTTTCTAAACTCAGTTGAATTCTTCGAAGATTTCAAGAATTTCTTCAAATTTGCGAACAGGATGGGCTATGTTTCGTCGTTATGCGTATACTGGGGATTTCCCTTCTAAAAATAGATCATTGATCCTATTCTCAACTGTAAACCCCTTAGGTAACAACGATTTCTACATGGAGTGAAAATAATACCCAATTTGCTTGTATGCAGAATGGATTGCAAGATACTCTTGTAGCATTGACTTAAAACAAAAAGAAAATTTATATTCGATACATTCGTAATTGTTAAAATTTATAATTTTTGACAATTATAATAAAATCTATTGAGTTGGGTGGCATGAATCACGTGCTTGGTTGCGCCCTCTATTGTTGTAGTTCACCCCGGACTTTCGGTAAATTAATTGAGACAACGTTTGCCAAATTCAGCAGCATCGTAAAATTAGATAGTGTCAAAATCACAAGAGAAAGCATGGTCTTGGCGATTTTGAAGTCGTTGGCGAGAGTGTTATCAACCATCATTTCGACTGTTATCGCGTTTTTGATATATGGATGGAGACCTAGGAATCCCGTTCCGCCTGTGCAAAACTCACTGCTATTAATGAGTGGAACCACTTTAGCAAGAAAAATACGTAACAGAGAAGTAAGTAAGACTGTCTCGACTGTTTTTATTTATTTATTTATTGGTGGTTTTTTATTAACTTTTTAAAATTATTTATTACTTTTTTGTAAATAAATTGTTTGTTAATAATAATTAATTATACATAAAACAGAATTGTATTTTGCCAGTTATTTGTAAAGTTACTTGTTGTTCATATTTTTTCATTTTATCGTTTTCCTATATTTTGTATAATTTTGTTAGAGGTAACGGTGTTAGTACATCTCCGTTTACAGTGAAACATAGACAAATAGAATTATATGTAGATTGCTCTAGATTATATCTGTGGCTTTATAATATAATTCGTGGGTGATGTTGAACTTGGGTTGTGGTTATCAATTGCATGAATATGCTGAAATTTGGTGTCCTAATACCGGGGTAAGTTTTTATATATATTTATATATCATGGTTTTGATCATATTTTCTGACATGGCCTCACTATCAGAAGCTAACATACATACCAGCCATGCTATCTTGACCTTTGATAGATACTCGTGTACTAGCACAGATTGTTTCACTGATAGAGCTCAATGTGGTGTCCTACTTCCATACAATTCATATTTTGTTTACTTGATATGCAATGTTAATTTTTTTCAACATTAAGCATTTTTCACATAATAGACTTATTAATATTTTTATGATCATGGTTCAGTATTATGGGATATATTTTGTTTGTATAGCCATCAACCTATGAAATAATATGTGGAAAATACTATAAATAGCGACAATTATGGCATAAATTTCACAACAGCTTGGTCAAATGTTTGAAATAGCCAAACTTTATGAGTGAATTATGGTGAATTGTTCAAGTTACGAACATCGAGTTACAAACATAATAATAATAATAATTTCTTAAAATTAATGATTTATGTAAAATTCCCCTAAAAGTTTAATTATATTTCTGTCATTACTTTTCATTAAATATGTGAATTTGTG